AAAATAGGGACCACCTTTGGTGGGAAGGGAACAGCGCTTCGTGCGCCTTCGGCATTTAGTCATGCCAGCCACATGACCATGGACAGCGCTGGTTCTTCGGCTTTGAAACGGAGATGAGCACCGCCCCCTAGAGTCGGGAACGACTAGCACAGATGTGCGAGGGGAACCTTTACCTTTTAAGTTTATACAGCAAGAATGCCACCCGTCGTATCCACACAGAAAGTGGACTCAGTCCCGATTTGCATTATATTCCTGCGTTTGTAGCCATTTCTCCCCAACCCTCCTTAAAGAGTTTTGGGGCGTGGGATGAAAGGGGGCTGTAATTCCTGCCTGCTGGAGAATTTTTGTCAGTGCTTCCATGCCTCAAACAAAACAAGATATTCTTAAGCATACACTTAAGTCCAAAGTCTAAATTGACCACTGATTTAACTCTTGTTACGATGGGTGAGGTTAAGCTAACATTTGGCTCTTTGTGTACTATTGCATTGCACAACCCCCTCTCCCCCCCCATAAAGCAGCAGTGAAAAATTTGTTTACAAGTGGGTGTGCTTTAAAAACAAAAACAACAATTAACAATGAGTTAATTTTTCTCCCCTTCTTTTGAACGTGTCGTAGTATTGATTTATTCATCTCAAAATGTGCACCCTCTGTCAGATTGTGTTATCCGCCTTCCTTTCCATTGTTGGTCTTGTGTCCCCGCAGAGCCGTGAAGGGGCCATCTCGGCCTGCAGTTCTGCCTCTGATGGAGCAGCATATTTATAGCCTGATATAAATAAAATGAGAAGGTTTCCTATAAAACTCTGTTATTACTGCAGCGCAAAGTTGGAAAAGGCTCCAGGTTTCAGCTCTTCGGTTCTCGCGTGCTCCCATGAATATTTTATGGGGAAGGAAATACATGGTGTGTCTGAATCTTTTTATAGGGAGGCTGTGTGTTAGTCACCTTCCAGGTCTCACCCTTTTGAAGGGTCCTCATTAGCCTCCTCCAATCACAGCCCCCCCCCAGATGTGCTCGGCTACTAAGTCCATAACCTTTGGCCATCATGGAAGGAGTCCATCTTAGGGTCCTACCCAGTGGTGAAATTCAATCTTTTTTACAACCGGTTCTGTGGGTGTGCGTGGTGTGGCTTGGTGGGNGAGCTGGTGAGATTTGAACAGCCGAACTGCCGAACTAGCAGTCAGCTGAAGTAGCCTGCAGTACTGCACTCTAACCACTGCGCCACCTCGGCTCTACACACCTGTGTTTTCAATAAATCACAATAAACATTTTGGATGTTGTGTGTGAACAGGATCAACTTATTGTCATAAGCAATATGCAGTGGCTTTTCTTTCTCAACAGGTAAATGTTTCCTTCCAAATGTATAGTATACACAGTGTTCATACTTCCAAACTCAAGAAGACAGTAGATCTCTTTGTAAGTACAATGACAATAAAGATTATACGTATACATATACTTTAAAAATGATCTTAGTGCCAATGGAATACTTGGGACTTTGATGCTCCTTTTGGGACATTTATTTAGCTTAATAGCAACAATTAATTTGCTAAAATTGTTTTTAATACATTTTTATTCTACATGTATTACTTTAAAGAAATTCAAGGCAGCAAACATGTCTAATACTCTTTTGCCCTCCTATTTTCCCCATAACAATCCTGCAGGGAATTGGCTGAGAGACTGGTTGACTGGTCCATATCACCAACTAACTTTCATGCCTAAGGCAGAACTAGAATTTATATCTTGCGAAGCCAGTACCTTAACTACTGTACAAAACTGGTAGGGAAAGGACCTATACTGTTTAATGATAAAATACAATATTGTACAATATCCAGGTTAAGATGATACCATTGGATAGAAAATGAAAACAAATGGGACTCAAACCTCACTTTTGCCTCAAAAAAGATGTAATGCCTACAAGAAGAAGTGGCGGTTACCATCACAGTCTTCCCAACCTGTGCCTGTACAATTGACGAGGCTTCTGATATCGATAGTCAGTTTTATTATTCATTATAGATATGCATTGTTTATCACAGGGCTTCTGGCTACTCACGATCAACATATCAAGTAGTAACTGCTTCTCTGACTTCCTGTAAACTCATGAAATGTCTCTGCGCCACTAAATCTCTTGACTCTATTTCATTATTTGTAATCTTCAATTGGGCAAAACAGTGCATCATAGGGCAACAATTTTTGAATTAATTTATCTGAAATGAGCTGATATATAGAATGTGCCCAGGATCCATGATTCCCACGGGATTTTGATATTGGGCAAAGTTCTGGTTGCTTCATCATTGTATGGCATTGTCATGGGATAGCCATTTCCAATGCTCTCTCCCAGCTTCCTATAGGGAAAGTCCATGGGGTAATGAAAGGATGGTGGAAGTTGCTTCCTCTCCAACTGCCTTTGTGCCTGCCTGTGTTCGTTCTGTTTCTCCATTTAGCTAAAGAAATATNAACTCCACCCCTTGAATTCACACCCATCACAAATCAGGTGTGTGTAGGTCCTGGCTTCGGTATTCAGAGTCTTCTTCGTGGATGTCAAATCAATTAAAGAAAAATATAAACCACTCTTGTAAAGTGAATGTCCTTGCTTCTCCTTCTGTGTGAGAATTCCGTGTGAGAATTTACTCCTCCGTGCAAGAGTTTACTCTCCTGTGTAAGAATTGTGCCCCTTGTTTAATGATGGCTCTTGCAGCATAACAGGCCATCGTTGGCGGGGAGGGGGTGTTTCTGAGCTGGTGAGAATCTCCGCATCGATAGGATTTGGAGGAGGCTCCCTAATGCAGATTGACGTTTTCAAGAAGGTCTGTGCCCTCTCCCCACTTAGGCCCCATAAGCTGTGGGCCTAAACTTCATCTCCTCTTTTCATTTCCCTTCCCCCCCAGGAAACTGCACAGTGCAATGAAGACATATGGGTGTGAATTGTGTGGGAAAAGATTCCTTGACAGTCTCCGCCTTCGGATGCACTTACTGGCTCATTCAGGTAAGTGTAGATGTCTCTGTGTGTTTTGTGTGTGTGTGTGTGTGCGGGGGTGGGGGTGGGGGTGCTCCCACATTTACCCAAAGTTCATGGGAAGGTTGGTCTTGTCCTGGACTTAAAATTTGCCAAAATCCTTGGTTGTAAAGCCATTCAACCAGGTCCATCAGAAGGACAGGTATGTCCCACACAGGTGTGCTTAGGACCCCAGGAGGTGTGGTGTTCAATGGTTGGATGAAGTGGTGAAATTCAAATATTTTTACTACCGGTTCTGTGGGCGTGGCAAAGGAAAGGATACTGCAAAATCCCCATTCCTTCCCCACTTTGGGGCCAGCCGGAGGTGGCATTCGCTGGTTTTCCGAACTACTCAAAATTTCCACTACTGGTTCTCCAGAACCTGCTGGATTTCACCCCTGGTTGGATGCCTTGTCTGGATAGTAGTGTACAAGAAGGAAGTTACCTCTGTCCTTGGCCTTCTCCTTTTCCCCTCTTCCCAGAGCTCTCGTTGGTCCTGGATATTTTGCCTCCACTTAAAAGATCCTTCCCTGGGCTGAAGACCACTTGGGAGTGGCTGCCATGGGTCTTCCATGGGTGGGAGAAGCCCATCTAGGCAAGGAACTCCTGTTGCTCTCTTTAAGGGAGTAAAACCAACCATGGAATGGATTGAGGTCTTCAATAGACCATCCCTGGCCGTGTTAGGGGGGGGGGAATTTAGCGATGGGGCCCAGCTGCTGCATTTCTTGATTTGGGGAAGAAGATCTGATTTGAGGCCATTTGGTGGTTCAGCGTTTTTCTCAAGAAACGGAGCTACAGTTGCAGGCTGGGGATTTTGTTCGTGTAGACGCCGAGACATTCAAATCAGGAGTTCTTGCAGAGGAACGAAAACTGGGCTCTTTCTGAGTTGGTAGACCAGGTGTCCTTCCTGTTTGAGATGTTTAGAGAAGCCCGGAGTGAGACCTTCTCCTTCGTAAAGGTTGTTCTGGGCTCCCCAGCTGCACGAGGGTAGTTCTGAATGGCAACCAGGGTGAGTTTGAGGCCTCGTCCGTCCGCTTCCAACCTGGACCAGGGGTGAAATCCAGCAGGTTCTGGAGAACCGGTAGTGGAAATTTTGATTAGTTCAGAGAACCGGCAAAGGGCACCTCTGTCTGGCCCCAAAGTGGGGAGGGAAGGGAGAGATTTTGCAGTATCCTTCCCCTGCCAAGCCACGCCCACCAAGCAACGCCACGCCCACCAAGCCACGCCCACCAAGCAACGCCACGCCCACCAAGCCA